TCTATTTTTGTTTTTGTTACTGTTGTTGTTGTTGTTGTTTTTGTTGTTACTGTATTTGTTGTTGTTGTCGTCGTCGTAGGCGAAGCATGACAATGTCCTTTGCTGCAGTCTGCATCTTGATGCTCTGGTCTTTGTAAATTGTCGTCGCGTGGAGAAGTCTTCTGTCTGTGTTTCCCTTTTGTCTAGTCCTCTCTTATCAGTGTCTTTGGTCGTTTTTCCAACTGCCTTGTACTTGTGTGTGTTCTGTCAGTGCCTCTGGTGGTTTGATCATCATCTAAGGGTTGTTAGATAGTCATTTCGCTTCGTTATTTTGTGATTGCTCTTCGTTATTTGTGATTGTGATTGTGATTGTGATTGTCTCGTATGAGTGCTTTGTCGTCGTGTGTTTGTTTGTCTCTGAGTTATGTCATGTCATTGTGTTACGGTAATGTCGTCATCTGACTGTCCTGTCGTCATCTGACTGTCATGTCGTTGTCTGACTGTCTTGTCATTGTATGGCTTCAGTCATGTCGTTGTTTTACTATTATGACGTTGTCTGACTATCATGTCGTTATCTGGCTGTCATGCCTTTGTCTGACTGTCATGTCGTCATCTGACTGTCATGTCGTCGTCTGATTGTCATGTCATCATCTGATTGTCATGTCGTCATCTGGCTGTCCTGTCGTTATCTAATTGTCATGTTATGTTGTTGTCTGACTGTCATGTCGTTGTTTGACTTAAGTCATGTCGTTGTCTGACTGTCTCGTCATTGTTCAACTGTCATGTCGTCTTTTGACTGTCACGTCATTGTCTGATTCTATTTAAGTCATGTCGTTGTTTGTCTGTTATGTCTTTGTCTGACTGTCATGTTGTTGTCAGATTATGAATGTCTTGTCATTGTCTAACTGTCATAATTTGTCGTCTGACTGTCATGCTATGTCAATTGTCTGATTGTCATGATATTCTGTCGTCTGACTATCTGGTCATGTCATTATCTGACTGCTGACTGTCATGTTGCTACTAGTTTGTGTGAATTCTGCTTCATATTTACTGTTACTATTTTTCTATGCCTTGCCTGTTTGGTACCATAATTTCTGTCGGGAGGTGCATCTTGTTTCGTCCTAAGTTGAATAAAAACATACTTATTACCTTTTTTTTCCTCTTTTCAAAATTCCAATTAAAAAGTGTTTTTTTTAAATAGTGTTTTTTTTAATTTGTTTTTTTATTTGTTTTTTTTTTTTGGTTTAATTTTTTTTTTATTCCTGCATTTCCTTTTGCTGTTCAGGTTTTTCAGAATGGAACTATACTACAGTTCTAGTGTCGCTGTTCCGCATGAATGCTTGTCTTGTCTTACGGCCTTTAAGGCTACTCATATGATCAAATGGTTTTGGTGTCTTATGTGTTTCTTTCTGAAGCGTGTTTAATTCAAAGTGAAAATGCCCCTTCTCCTCCTGAAACAGGTCATGTGATCAGTGTCTGTGGTGTTATGGTTAGGTTCTTCATCATTGCACGCCTGAGACTAAAACTTGTTTCCCACGTAGACAGTTCTATATTATGGACTATTTTATAGTGCAGAAAGCTTAACTAGGCTTTTTGTCTGTGTAAGGTGAAAAGTAACCTAGAATTAAGCGATTCTCTGTCTCTAAATGTTGTTAAATAGACAAGGCCTTCAACACAAGACATACACAGACTGTTTGTTTGCTTATTTGTTGTTGTTTTTTTTTTGGTCTGTTTATTCAGTTTGGAAAGAGAAAGATTTTATTTTTTATGTTCAACATTAAACTTTTTTCCAATGTCTGTATGGCACAATGTCGTGTATGTAGTTGTTTAGAACAACTGTGAGTGGCTAAAGGGTGCCAGTGGTAGGTCTTTCTTCTTCTTTGCTTTCCCTCTATTGTTTCTGTATGTCTTGTTCTGACAGACAGACAGACAGACAGACAGACAGACAAGAGAATCAGCATTTGTCAAAATGTGATCTTTGATTGCACGAGTTGCTGGAACATACACACACACACATCCTTCCCTGCAGGATACGTTTGCTTTTCTTGCACTGCGACGGTGCACCAATTTTGTTCACAATACCCGTCAAACTTATACAAATTTTTTTTTTTAAGTGCACTGCTTGCTTGAATGACCTCTACTGACCTGTGTGGTGTATTGTGGGTCTTTGAACCTGACTAGATCAGACCTCAACAAGTTTGGAGACATCAGTGATGATGGGGCCTCTAGTCTTCTCTAACACACACATGCGCAGATGCACACACGCACACAGATGCACATGCATGCACACACACATACGCGCGCACACACACACACACACACACACACACACATACATACATATGCGCGCACACACACACACAAACACATATACATACACATGCACACTTACACACATACACACATACACACACAAATGAATACACACACACTTGCACATACACAAATAACGCCTCCCCCATCCTAGGATATGTGTCTGTATGCTGTCTTGACTTGCTTTTCTTTTATGACTTTGAAATGGTTGCCCCGACAACCACCCAACGATGTTGAGGGCTCATTTTCAAAGGTTGTTGGATTAACTGCAACAGCAGCAGCAATGGAAACTGCAGCAGTGACAACAACAAGAATAACAACATGAGCATCAACGATAAAAACAACCACAACAATGACAACAACAAGGAGCAACTATTAGGGCAGAAACAACAACAAAAACAACAAAAACAACAACAACAACAACAACCACAACAACAACAACTACAACAACAACAACAGTGAAAGGCTTCAATGAATGTGTGAATGTATTAGCAGCAGCAGGGATAGCGACAACAAAGACCTTGCAACAACAACAACAACAACAACAACAACAACAACAACAACAACAACAACAACAACAACAACAACAACAACAACAAAGTCACAAATGGTTCTTTGAAATTCTCTTTAAAAAATTCTTTTCTTTCCCTCTGTTGTTTTTGTCTGTATATGTCTTGCTTCTTCACTGCATGTAATGACCGTTATTCATCAATATGCTTTTTGTTCATTCTAATTAAGCTATGCCTTTATATCCTTTTTTCCTTTCTACTATCAGCCCTGAACCAAATGTTCTGCCCTCGAAATCATTTATTTGAGTTAAGTAGGGAGTTCAGCTATTTTTGTAACAAAAAAGACAACTGTTCTGACAGATCCGTGTTTTCTTGTCTTCTACAGGGAAGTCTCAACCGTTTTGCTCATGCCATGTCGGAGATGCTCAAGTATTTCAATGTGAGTCATGTCTCAGTTATGTGCCTTAAGTCTCGGCCAAAATTTTCTTTATATCACTCAGTGAATTTAGTTAGGCATGTTAGGTGATTTCCAATATTTTAAATAATATATAACAGTAATAATATTAATAATAATAATAACAACAACAACTACAATAATAATAATAATAATAATAATAATAATAATAATAATAATAATAATAATAATAATAATAACAACAACAATGATGATGATGATGATGATGATGATGATAATAATGTAGATCAGTTTTATAGCGCCTACTCCTGTGTGCACACTGCTCTAGGCGTTTAACATTAATCCGAGTACAAAGAGGAATAACTGTGTATTTGGTAATATTATGGTTCTTGGTGAAGACCTAATGCTGTTGGAAGTCAAGTGTTTTTACAGCAGGGCATCAGGCTTGTGCACATTCAAGCATAAAAGAAAAAGTCATTGATGAACTAATCGACTATTCAGTGTAATTTTTTTTTTTTTTTTAATTTAAAAAAAGTCTTTTACGGCCCTCGCAACTGCATAAGGTCATATGAGTGTGCAGGACACCTTATACATTTTTAGTTTTGGTAGGAATTAATTCTGAATTTTTCTCGGGTGGTGACCGAAGTCTACTTTTATTGATTTTGGAAAACAAGAGATCTCTGAAGTGCGCAACTTGCACACAGGACCTCCAAGATTTTTTCGCCCTTATCCGAGAAGGCTAAGTGTTAGATCTTACCAACCCTAAGGTCAGGGGTATGGCTGAAAGACAGAAGTAAGAAGGAACCAAGGAGTAGCAGTAGAAATGCTGCAGAAAAGGTCAGGATCCCAGAGGAGGAGGCAAAGGGGGATGAGGGGAGGGGGGGGAGGGGCAGAAAGTGGACACGAAAGTGATTGGCAGAATATGGTTAGAGAATAGGGAAGGAGGTGAAAGGAAAAAAAGTTGCCCACATTAAAGATCCCTCGGTGGTCCTAAAATCAGCCGTCACCTGTGCAAAATTCAAAATTAATTCCCACCAAGCTGAAAAGGCGTTTATGTGTCCTGCGCCTCATGTGACCGTATGCAGTTGCGAGTGCCGCTAAATACTTTTAAAAAACTAGCCACTGATTAAATATGGCATTGAGTTTTGATCAGATATACTCATTTTGTAGTATATATATATCTGTCTTTTACTCATAGTTATATTTGCAGATATATGTAACAATACTTGTTTCGTGTTCACAGATTTTGATGGACCAAGCCCATAGATCTGTCTGCAAGAATTTGAATTCATTCATCAAAGTGTGAGTTGGTTGATTTTAATTTACTGAGTTCTCCCTAAAAGTGTATGTTGTATCATTTTCTGTCTGTGGCATGTGTCTCTTTATTTTTTCTTCGTTTGTTAACATAATTTTAATGAATGAGATATGCCTCATAGATTTTCTCAACATTATCATCACATTTTTTATTGAAAAACACATAGAGCTTACCGTAAAGCTTGGATATGCCCAATATAAATGCAATAATTATTGCTATTTTTTTGTTTCTGTTCTGGCATTGTCCGTTCACTGTTGAATGCATCCCGTCCTGCAATATCCTAATTGTCATTATCGTTATAATTTTTGTAAATTTTCAGAGATGTAAAGAAGGTGAAAGAGACGAAGAAGCTGTTTGAGAAGATCAGCGATGACATGGATGCTGCGCTGACCCGTAACTCCCAAGCCCCGCGCTCCAAGACACAGGAATGTGAGGAGTCCCTCAACACACTGACGGCGACACGCGCCTGCTTCGCACACACCTCTCTCGACTATGTCTTTCAAGTGAGTAGGCTCTCGTTCGCTGTGGATGGTATCATGTAGGTTCAGTTTTATTTGCTTACTTCAGCTGTTGCACTTTTGTGGAGGGAGCATCGATTGCCAACAATCTCTCGTCTGTGGGTGATTGGAGGGCGCCACTGGTCGGTCCTACTTCTTTACTTTCCCCTCTGTAGTTTCTGTCTGTCGGTTTGTCTTACTTTTTGTCAGCACTAAATTAATGACCATTATTGTGTCGATGTGCTTCTCTTTACTCAAACAAACAAACATACTATCTCTCTTCAGTCTTCGTGATCCTGGACCTGTCTATCCAGCTATCTCAAAGAATATCTTGTCCTCTTTTCTTGTACATCCACATCGTAATACCTGGTGTTCTTTGGAGTTTCTCTTTTCGTTTTCCCTTATGGGTTCTAGGTTAAGGCCTTAAAAAAATGTTGATATAAATACATTTCTTTTTTTTAGTCTTTGTATATACCAGGGGTTATTTTGGACCTTGGTTGAATATGATCGATTGGGTTCAGAGGTTTTGGGTATTCCTGTGTTTGCATATGTGTATGTGTATGTTTGTGTGTGTGTTTGTGTGTGTGTGTTTGAGTGTGTGTAGATGTGTTTCTGTGTGTTTATGTTTGATGATTTAGTTCTACAGGTTTTCTATGTGCACTGAATTGACTTCACTAGTATCTTGTAATATTGTTGGACTTTTTACTGTTGCTTGCAAAAGAAGTTAGTTCAATTCCTTGTTAAGCAAGTCTGTTCTATCACGTTTTTGTCGTCATACTGTATGGCACTCAGTCAAGATCAACCTGGATTGGCAGAGTTGAAGCTGTCCAGACTCCTAGATTGTCTAGATTGTGTCGATTTGGGCGTAAAACATTTTCAATCAATATTTTATTGACTTTTCTTTCTTTCTTTCTCTTCTACAGATTAATGTGCTCAACTCCAAGAAGAGATTTGATATTCTGGACACGGTGAGTGATGTTTTTGCCAGCAGCGTCAAAATGTTTTTCCCCTTGTCTTTTTAAAATTTTTGGGAAGTATTTTTCGGCGCTCACGACAGAATACGGTCATATGAGCACGCAGGACACATTAATTGGTGGGAATTTTGGAATTCTTGCCTAGGTGGATGCTTATGCAACTTGCACACAGGACCTCTGAGATTTTTCGCTCTCATCCGAGAAGGCAAGGTGTTAGATCCTACCTACCATGAGATCAGGGGTGTGGCTAAAAGACAGCAGTAAGAAGGAGCCAAGAAGTAGCTGTAGAAAGGTTGCAGAAAGAATCAGGAGCCAAGTGGAGGGGGAAAAGGAGGTGAAGGGGTGGGGGGCAGAAAGTGGAGATGAAAGCAGATTACAGAACATTGTTAGAGAGCAGAAAAGGAGGTGAAAGGAGAAAATATTAGAGAAGAAAATTTTCCATCGCTATCTGGATTCGAACCCTGTACCTATTGATTGAAAGGGGAGCACCATAACCTCTTGACCAGGAGAGCCGTCTTCTCCTTGTCTCCATTTCTCATGGGTTGTAGAAGGGTACATCAGAGTAGTTTGTGTCCTCCATTTTTTTCTCTGTGTTTTGCATTTGTGTCACAACGCAGTGGAATCAGGCGCTCGTCAATTTTTGGGCATGTGGGGTTATTGGTATCATCTAAAGGCTGATTTGTTTGCCATGCTGCAAATGAAATAAATATCCATCTATTCTGAATAGAACTCAAGATATTCGCGATTGAAGAAAGTGAAGTCGCCGCGTTTCAGTGGGGAAATTAACGAGAAAATGGCAGCCAAAGTTTAGTAAAGAGTCCATGAAAACAGGAAAATGACCTATTTTGTGCCTATAATCAATGTTTTTCAGTAAAGTTCTCACGGAAATGTGTTTTTATTTGGACATAAAAGAGGTTGAGCCAAAAAATAAAAATTCTATAAAAATTTCCAAACTGGCAGAAAAATGCCTGTTTCTCCGATTTCTGTATTTTGATGAGCGCCTGATTTCACCACGCTGCCTCACATTTATCATTGTTCATTACTGATAAAGCATCCTGCTTTTTTTCTTTCCCTGTATTGAGCGTGCCAAGTACTCTGATAAAATCGGAGCTCTCCAATTTCTTTTTGCTTCTCGTCATAATCCTGATTAGATTTCCTTAAAATCAGATTTTATTTTCTTGAATTTATTCTCTGTCGTGTCAGTTTTTCTGTGACTTATCGTAATTGACTTGACATGACAATGCAGGTTTTCATTTGTGTGTATTTGCAATATTTTCATGGGTTATGTAACTTATTTTTTTATCTATGTGTATTTGCAATACATATTTAGGTGCCAATTTGTTCGTTACTTAATTTTTAATTGGGTACAGGAAACTGATTTTTTTTTACCATATCCTTTTTTATTGGGGAGAGGGGGGAGGGGTTAAAGCATTCGGGCTCGTTTGCCCTCAGGAGCGCATGAAACAATTTTAAAGAAATACTCAGAGGGTTTTTCTTTTGGGAATACCTACATGTTTCTTTGCTTTCTCTGTCCCCAGATGTTGTCCTATATGCATGCCCAGAACACGTTTTTCCACCAAGGTCACGACCTTTACCTCGACCTTGAAAAGACCTACATGAAAGATATTGCTGGCCAGGTGAGTGCATGGGCATATGAAACATGAGGAAAATAATGTTTGTTTTAAATAAATAATAATGATTTTGAAAGGAAGAGAGCAAATTATGCTTTTGAAAATATTATTTTGAAATTGAAAGAAAGCAAATTATGTGTTACAGAAACGTTTATGAGGGAAACATATTCTGTTTGAAGAAATTATTTTTCATTTATTAAGATTTTTTAAAAAAAATGTCTCATTAATAGGAAATTGATATAATAAGTTAACTGTGTTTGCTATTCATGTCTTTGAAAGAATTTTTACAAAGCACTAAATGAAAATGAAATGATTTAAAGATAATATAGTAGTGTCTACAAACAGAGGATGAATTGGCCTACTGTGGTATAACGAGACTGAAAATTTTGAGGAGATTCGGGAAGTCTTAAGTTTTTGTTGTAAGCTCCACATTACTGATTATAATAATATAATATAATTATTTCCCTTTTAATATTTTGCTGTGTTTGCCTACCTTTAGGTGTGTCATTGTGACGTAAAGGTTCCTGTGGTTTTGTGTATTATATCACACACTGTGTGTGTATGTGAGTGTGTGTGTATGTGAGTGTGTGTGTATGTGAGTGTGTGTGTGAGTGTGTGTGTATGTGAATGTATGTGTGCATGGGTGTCTGGTGTAGTGGTAAGGTGTCTCACTGTTGCATGTAAGAGACCCAGGTTTGATTCTTGAGTGGGATGGAAGAAAGTTTTTATTGGGCATCTCACAGTCTTCTTGCTGGGATGTTGTATTGTATCCTTGTAAGCACGGGTTTGCCTTGACAGGCAGGTTTGGAAGCTCGCCTCCTAAATAAACTAAATTGAGTCAGTTGTGGAGTACAAAAATGTGTACCTTTAAAGGAAGAGTGTGTTTGTGTATGTGTGTGTGTGTGTGTGTGTGTGTGTGTGTGTGTGTGTGTGTGTGTGTGTGTGTGTGTGTGTGTGTACTCATACATAATCAATATGCATGTATTTAATTATCTTGCTCTGTTCCCGTCTAAGTCAGTTTGTATCTATAGCTCTGCGCTCATCTGCCCATATATTTTGCTCCCCTTTTCCTTCAATGTA